ACGTGCTTACGTTTAAGCGTGGCACCGATTTTCTTTCAAAAATAAATCAATCAACTGGTAGGATGATCGAACCTTGCTACCAATACGGATTGTAGCAGGAGACAAAGTAAAAATTATAGGCTGTAGGTTGTAGAAATAACAATGTTTCTCGCATCTTGCAACGCTTTATCGAAACAGTATTGCAAATCTCTCCTATGCGTTGCTCCCTTAGTTCATTAAAGCTATTATTTTTCCTATTTCCAAGGTAGTCCATTCAAGATTATCGACAGGTCCTGAGGACATCTTTAAGGACAGACGATAATCGCTATCTGTTTGGCGTTCTCAGACGCCACTTTTGTAATCGAGAAAACCGGTTTGATTACAATTCCAGACGACGTCCTTTAATACACAACTCCCTTGGGTAGAATTAGGTTTCCTCTGCTCTCCATCATTTCGACTGCCGGGCCGTAAAACAGTATAGTTTGGTAAGATTAACAGTGTTACAGGGATCCGAATTTGGTTCACTCATGTTGGTAGAACCAATACGAATGAGCACGTCACCTTCGTAGGACGTTAGTCTACGTTTTCAAATGTCGTTTAAGATTTGAGGTATAGAAGCGGGTTTTAAAATAGCATTCCAGGTAGTATCGATCGGCTGTTTTTGCCCTAATACTGGTCTTCTTTTTATGTTTCGAGTTACACGTCCAATATTGCCGTTGGGCATTGCATCAGGCGGCTGGCTCCTAATGCGAACCCACACCACAACGTATCCTTAAAATTAGCAAGCTAATAAGTTGTCCACTAATCTATCACGTGGACCAATAACGGGCCTCCTACGAACACCGAGCGCGGAGGTTTTTACATGGAGCTACTGATGTACGATAAGTAGCAGTACGAAGATTTAACTACAATTTTGCAACTTTTTTTATTTCTTGCTCATAAAATGTATCTACGCAACAATAAACAGTATATTTACATGTGGATGTGGAGCAAAGAATCGTATCGTACATGAATGAGCGTACGGAACTGTAATATTTTAATAATTATAGTGTGTTTAATACAATGTTTTATAAAATGGGGTTATGGCCCCAAGAAGAGGAACCAGTTGTCAAAACTCAATCACTACGAATGATCAAAACTTGACAAATGCGTCAATTTGATTAATGCAGTGGTATACAGGAGTAGCTTAGAGGTTTAGGGTATCAACTGCCGAACCGGAAGTACGTGCTCCGAGAGCCGGGTCATAGCATCGTGCTTAGTATTAATGCAGAAGATTCGCGTAATTGTGTTTTTGTCACAAACTATTATCCATGTATATAGTGGCCACTGATAACAACAATAAAGTTTGTCTTTTTTTTTTTCTTAAAAATATGATGCTTCGTTTTTATAAGGCAAACGATAAATAAAACGATAAAACGACCTAATTCCATACCCAAAGTATGCCCAGCTGATTGCGAGCCATGCGCCCAGTCTAAGACAATCGTCTTTTATCGATCAGATTCGTGACGTCATTGCGGGTTTTTTCGTTTCGTAAGCAACCTGGTCGCATGCGGGAACGAACGTGCTATCAAAAACCTGGTAGATCTTTATTACAGAAACAACGCAACACCAGTAAGCGATACTGATGCATGCGCGCTCATTCAGTCAAATTTATAGCTGCATATGTCTGTTGGTAGCTGTGTACTGCAGCCTCGTTCACGGTTCCGTTAAGAGCTCTCGGTTTCTTGCAGTCTAGCCAGAATCCATCATCCATCGCGCTTTGTGGTTGTCGACTTGGCATTAGCTGCTCTGATCAGCATCGGCTCTTGTCGTTTTCGTAGTCGAAGAGGATCTTTGCTAAAGAGACGTCGCTACCGTTCGAGTTCGAAAGTTCTTAAAGTGTCTATTAATCTCTATAGGCTCTCGCAAATTCCCGTTAGTTCCTTAATGTTTATAAGCGATTTCGGCAGCATTGCTCATCACGTTGATCAATGTCGTAGCCGATCCCGAATGCTCTAGACATTTCGCTTGCAGAAAAGCATCCCCTTTGCCTTCCTGGTCGTCTAGTCGCTTTGCATATCCCAGTTAGGCATTGTCTTTTTCGTAATCCTTCTTGGAATCTTTATCGAACGGACCCCTATAGTTCGAGCTTTACATCCAATAACGCCGTTTGATGGCTCCAAATGAATCTACAAAGCGTGCACATGCCTCGGTATGTTCGTTCAAGTTGCCTGTTTCTTCCCACCGACAGCCGAAATTCGATAGGCCCGCTGTCTTGTCCTGTGATGACAGATTCGTAGAATGTTCCCACGTTTCCGCTTATACCCGGAGACGCTCTCATATACAAAGTCACGTTCAGATACACTTATTTATGGTGTATAGCCGAAGTCGGCAAAAAAGCGGAAAGCTAACGGAAAACAAACCAACTCAGCAAAAAGTGAGGATAGACTTAGGAAAGGCGTTTGCCATCACGAAGGACGTAACGGCCCGTGGCTAGCAGCATTAGGTCTGGTCACCGTCGGCGCCGTAAAGTAGAGGATGAAAAGAGCAGCCAAATAAAGAGAACAGGTGAAAGATGATAAAGAACTTCTTGATTCGTGTGCCGTCCTCACTGTTCGTAGTAGTGGTTGTCCGCTGCAGTGGTGTCGGTAATCGGTGCTAGCGTTGACATCTCTCGAACATGGTCGTAGTGTAGTCTGAAACAGGATCAGCGTCGTTTGTCTACTATCACGACTGTCATCTCGACGATCCCGTCTCTCTACATTCGTCGCGTTCTACCTCCCTTTAGCTTTCATAGGTGCAGCTGTCGCTGCTGCGATGGCCACAGCGCTTTGAAGCAGCTAAGTGCCTACTTGCTCCTCCCCTACTTTTGCTAAGCTCGATTTCTTTCTTTGAAGTTGATGATTTTGCTTCTGCTGCTGGCTTTTCGCTCTTTTTTTTAAACTTGGCCTGCTTCACTTACCGCTTTTCTTGATGCTGTTCCTGTCTTGGAGGCTCAGCGGGATACGCAGTATGACCGGTTCTTACTTTGTCGCTAGGAGACAGAAATCCTCAAAGTTTCGCTGATCAGCGTTTGGAATTCCGGTTGGTCCCTATCTCACTCCTGACTCGCTTGTAATGATACTATAATGCAGCCTAGGCCTAGGCCGGTGACGAGGATAGCATGCTAGCTTACCACCGTGCTCTGTTGGTTGGCGATTGAGAAACGAGAACACTGACCCACAGGGGGATTTGACGCCTTGCAGATTTATAGGTACTTACAATTCGGGTATTTACATGCCTGGAAAGATACACTTACAGACAGGCACACTGGCCTTTACGATCCGTTCGCCGCCCAACGTTTTCTCGTCTCAACGAGAAGCGGTAGGCACCATGTGACCCAACAATGTTTGTCCTTCAGGTTTGTCTGGATTAGACATATCCAACCGATGCTGATTCACTCCCCTATCCTGAAAGCCTACATGTGTTTGTAGGAAAGCAGTGATGCCTCTCACATTTTTCATATTTTTAGTGAGGTTATATTGATCTTGTGCGTGTGCGTTCGCTAATTATGTATCACTTGATAGCTGTTTCAACCTGGATACAAATTCCGACCCATGCTGGGTGCAGTGTTTGATAACTTCGACAATGGTCGCGTTTATATGTAGCTACTACGGTAGCAAGCAACATGCGTAGCGCTCCACCTAGTATGCTCTTTGAAGAGAATATATTTCTAAAAGAGGCCGTAGAAGGCGTCTATTTACGTCGCCGTTTTTTACTCAGCCCGCACGCAAAAAAAACTCCCATATATGCACATAGGCGGATCGGGTATGTGTTTGCGCGGTACACGTTTCCGAATTCGGTTCCCTTTGTTATGAACATTCGGTTGCATTTGATCGCTGTTAGCGCATATGAGACTCGGGATATGTAAAGCGGTAGACACTGCAAAGCCAATAAGGAGAAGGGAAAGGGCGCCTACATAGGGGCACCTAGTTTAGAGATGTGATATGGAGTAAAGGAAGGCAAATAAGGATATTGAGAATTTTTAGGAGCTCCGAAGCCAACTTGTAAATGCATACTTGGGCGTGAATTCGCGAAAAAAGGAGATAAATGGCTGAGTAGATGCATTATAAATATTTTATTTCGGGATAAGCTGCTTTTTATCGTACGCCCTCCTAACAGGCTCGAAAGGGTCCGGCATTGGCGTCTTTGGGCAGCCGGGGCGCACTCATCTCGAAAAGACATCGAGGGGACGTAAAAGAAGCAGCCAGCAGAAACATAGGAGATGCTGTCGGTAACTCTGGGTAAGTAAAGCGTTCCGACATCGATGATCGAACCGGCGACGATGACATACATTATCATCGTTATCACAGCATGAGTGACGGGTCTCAGCGGTACAGTCGACCTGGGGTTTGGCCCTGTGCCGGCGTCTGGGTTGAAGGGAATGCAAGAATCCCCAGACTCGTCCAGTTCAGCGGTTCGTTCTGACAAAATTATCGGCTGGAAGTGTCGATGCTGAGAGGGTGTAAGGTGCAAGTAAAAGGTTTAAAAACAGATGAGAAGAGGAAGCCAGCACGGCCAGAGAGAGGCATGGAAGAGAGAAACATGGCCCTAGATCTACCTCAGTAAACGCAACTGTCTTACGCTACCCTTTAGGACAGTTAATAATAATAATAATAACGGGAGCAAGTTCCGCCTCGAGAACTTGTTTTCCCGCAGAAGCTGCTGCTTTTGCATTTCGCGCATCTTACACGCGTGCATATTCATGTTACTATTAATGTGTTGACCATGGCCTAGATATGCGTTTGAATGTTAGATGTCGAGTAGCTCGTACGGCTCAAACACGCTGAATACTTCTTAATAAACGTCTGTAATAGCGCAAAATTTCACTTGCATCGTCAAGATTATTCCAAGACTGTCAATAAGTCTAAGTCCAAAACCTAGAACTTATGTCTACACTAAACTTTCAGCATCTACTTCTGCAAATGAAGATAATATTGATCTAAAATTATGTATATATATTATTTTAAAAACTTAGTTCTGTTTTTTATTTGAAACTCCCCAGCTCTGGCGGTGAATCGTTCACACCACCCTTGGTACAAACGCGTCTTCCGAAGTAGCCGTCGTCTGTTGCTGTCTTCCTACTTTGGTCCGCAATCCAATTTTCGATGGTTGGTCCGATTCCCACCATTTAGGACAATGTATAGGGTGGACTACCGCTACACCTGCAACAGAAATGGTGGTAACGGTGTTAGTAGGCGTTGTTGAAAACCAAGAGTCAGTCGGAACCTGCCAGCAAACAGCAAGGCAGGCGATGGCTATAGGAACCAACTGGAAGCGCAGAAGGGACTAGTAAAAAACACGAGTGAGAAGGAAGACTCAAAGGTGGCACTTGCTTGATGCTGTTTGCTGTGATATGCTGTCGAGGTGGCACAGCCTAGTAGAAGTGGTCGTGTTGATATTCTGCCTGGCTGCTTTCCTTCCTGGTAGAATCGACATTAACTGACCTACAACCTAGCTTTATAGGTCCCTTTAGAAGACGCTCTTTTACTCATATTACCCACCTTCTTTAGCCACGATGGTCCACGACAAATCAAGGGTCACAATGATTGCCATAGCTCGATGGCATGCAACCTCGTCCTTCACTGCGCGTTTCGTTGCCGCTGCTGCTGTTATTAGATGCCAACCCACGAGCGATAGACGGGTGCACCGGCAGTTTATATAAGAGCAGAGAAAGCAGCATCAGGGAGAAGACAAATTTTCACTGCTTCGATCACACCGTTTTTGTGGATCGAAATTTTGGAATACCTTCAGGTTTCTCCACGGCCAATATGATATGAAGGCTCCGGAAAGTCAAATCAATATTTCACAGCGATCATTCCGTTTTAAACATATGACTTTCCTGCAACTCTTTCTACGGATGTCGTTGCCTCAGTCGACCGGCTGATCATCGACCGTTCATAAACCGCCCATAGTAGTGCACGATATCGTCCCTCTCAACGGCGCACAATAACGATGAAAGCTGTACGAGGAAAGAGGCATTGTACCTTTTTTTTCTATTGATGATGGTCGCAATGCTGCAATAGTTACACATGCGGGCGGCAATAATCGCACCGTCAGTCGTTGATCCACAAAAGCCCTCGACGCAGCTCTGACGGCAAATACGACCATAGTGTGTATGAGTAACGGCGCATATACCGATATTTTCAATGAAAACCGCCAGCGACTTGCGATACATAAAGGCGAATAAAATGACAGCAAGGGCAACGTTAGTGACGCGGTCTAAAGCAAAGGATGTTTGAACTGGCAACCTGTTTACTGACCGTTAAGTCCTTGCCCTAACTGGTAGGTTGTTACGTAAGGGAAATGCCAAGCGAAGCACACATTTTTGTATCGCAATAGTCCGTTCCGATAGCAGTAGCAGCGAATGGGAGTAAATAGGGTCGGTGATCAGTTTAGGACTAAATTAAGTTCTTCGTAGAGTTTCAGAGCTGCCAAAGAAGCGGAGCGACGTTTTTAAGTTGCGGCATTTTGAAGCGTCAAAAGTTATAAATATGATGGCAAAGATGAGGAGCAAGTCGTTCATCTTGTTGGCGTCCCATGCTTTGTAGCCATGCCGATAGTTAACGGATTTTGAGAATATACAACGGAATTAAGTAGATTTATTGCGATTAGTGACCAATAAGAAATACTCGTTGCATATCATTAACCAATGAACTTATAGGAGAGGACTTATTGATTCAAAGAAAACGTGCAAATTATAACTTGCTAGCGATAAAAAACAAGGAAAAGTGGTTACGAAGGAAGAAGTACGCAATGAATTAATGCAGCCTCCAGGCACTTCGCAGGTGGGCATGAGGAGCGCGTACAAAAAACTATTGTTTTTCGAAGTTGCACCCCACTCTAGTGAATATTTTATGCTCATAGAGGCTCTTGCATATACAGTGTATCATATATGGCCGACTAAATGTCAGTAACTAATTTGCAGCGAAAAGAACCTCTCTATTAGTTTTCATCATTTCGAACGCCTATGCAGCTTGGTGCTATACTAGCAGCTTAAATTACTTCGGGCCATTTCCTTCGATAATCGTGACTGTAAACTTCATGGACCTGGGTAAAATTTGTGCCTTTATTTAAAATTTTTTAATATAATTTCTCTTATTATTAATCTTTTAATATAATAATAATAATAATAAAGAATAAAGGCATTTCAACAATAGTAACAAATTTGCCGCTGCTAAACCTTGGCTTTCAGATAGCACTAACGCCGACTTAACGCGATTTATGTTACCTGATTATATGGGACCTTAAAGCTACCTAGTTAAAAAACAGTCAAGACTTTTTGGCGACCGAAGCCTAACAGTTAAATATTTTTCCCATTTAAATATTAACGGCTTTTGTTTATCAGTTGTAAACATGCTCTATTGATGATTTAGCAAACTAGCATTATATATTTTACGAGGTAGGTTCTATTAAGTAGTGAAACATAGCTAAACTTGGACCATCTTTCAAGTAGTAACTACGCTTTCATCGATGCCCAACAATACTATTTCATGCACATACAAAGGCACCTAAAAATGCCCGATCTAATCTTGAAGAGGAGACTAATTAGGCGCAACTGGGCTAAAAGCGCCCTTCTGTTTACAAGTGCTCAAGTCTGCGTTCAGGGTCGCCAGGAGCGCACTTTTGTTTACGTTATCAGTAGAAAGGAACAAGGAAATCTTTTATCTTTTTGAGGCTATTGCCTAAACTGGATAGGGGTAAGGGTATTTCAAGCATATATAAGAACTGCCTTACCCCGGAACAATGTATGTAGTAGCACAAACAGCTTCGCCGTAGCTTGGTCCCGAGACATTCGTGCAGAACCTGTAATCGCTTGCTCCAATCAGGAGCAACCGCAGGATAACTTGAACATGTTTGTTAAAAACAGGTTTCCGTAGAATAAGCCTGCTTCGGTAGTCGTTACTTGCACGACCTTAAACAGTTCGAAACAGCTTGACTGAGATCAGATTCAGACTGAAAGAGAGAGGAATGCGAACACCTTGTTAGTCGCAGATGCACTTCAAGAGACTTACGACCAACCAGTTCAGCATTTCGTTGTTAACTCCTGTCCAGAGCAAATATTAGCGCCCTGGCTGAGTTCGCGCTGCAGGATGACGAATAGCCGATGAAAATAACCGGGGCTTGTTGTGGAAGTCATAAAGGCCGCGGTCATTGTGGGGAATACGGAGTACATCGCCATGGACATGAAAAGCATAACAGGCGCGAGCATCACGGCCATCACGGAGAACAGGGGCGTTGCGCCTGAAGACAAGACCGAGAAAACCATGGCTCACATCGCCATGGTGAGTCACATGGTTTTACAAGTGCTTACACACTTTTACTAGTTGCTCGTTAGTTGACTGTCTATTTCAAAAGCCATGCTGTCGGTAGTCAAGCGATTTGTTTAATGCTAGAAAGCCATAAATGGCGTCGACGATTCTTTCTCCTTATGAGACATGGCATGCGGCTCTGAATAACAGGCCTGTTATTTTCTGAACGCGGACCCTCTGCATAAACAACTTCGAATAAAGACAATATACTAATGATGCGTGCTAATCAAATTTAAAAAAAAAAATATCTTTTACCTGAAGCAAAACCGCGCTTCTTACTGTTATGAAATTTCGCAATTGTGATCTCAGGAGCGAAGATTCGATCCTGCTAAGTCAGATCTGAATGACACAGGACGTCTATTTGAGCAACTGCTCCAAATTCGAAAGGTGTGTACTGCTACTGAAGCTTATTTAACAGAATGGAAATGTTCTCTCCGGCACGACCGAATCCATCTCTAATAACAGTATAAAAAGCTTCGCAACAAGACTCAGCACTAATGTGATTGCTTATATATTAGTGCTTATTCTAAGACCAGTTAATCTGAAAGTTGTACGCTGTTGTAGAGAATCATAAACGGTATTCTTGGTAAGGGTAATAGCGCACAATACGTAAGGAATCGGTGTCGTTAAATAACTTGAGATTAGGTTAAGAGTTAAGTTACAAGATCGGTAGATATAGAACTCAGTTATCGCATTTAGATTTCAATTATATTTAATACGATTCTGACATGAGGGTGTTCTAGGAGCAGCAAAGACTGTAATTTGCGATTTCCCAAGAGGCGCATTTCGACATCTCACTTGATTGACTTTTAGCGTTGTCATGGTCGGCTGTTGACCTTACCAACTGGCAGGTCATTAGAAAATATTGAACAAGAAAAAAAAAGCTTTCAACCGAGTTTGCTTCTCAGGTCTACGGTGGCTTTGAAGAAAAAATAACCTCGCTTCATCATCGTAGCGGCAAATGCTGTCACGTTGGGATCTCGCTCCGTTGTTGGTCAAGACGATGGCCACTTTTTTAGTGCTGCTCTTAATGACAATACAGTAGCGTAGCCGCGGCTACAAAGGCGGGCAGATGACGTCGAGAGCGTAACCTTCTGCGAAGCTTCAATAAGGTGCGAGTCTGTATGTAGGAATGTGGCTGCTGTCGCTGTGTGTTTATGCATGACCTTGACAAAAGGGTACAAGGCAAACCTAGGGCTATCATCTGATGCTTCAAACCTTTGGGCCAGCAGCGGCTCCGTCTCGCTGCCGACTAAAGTGCATGGACCGCGAAACGGATCGAGAGACGATTGCGTATCGACGCCGGTATTGCCAATTATCGACCAGTCGGCACCAGCGCGCCCAGTGCAACGAACTAATTATCCAGGCATTTGCTTTTCGGTCCCCGGAAGCCTATAACAACGAACGACCGAAGGCGAAAGGAACGACTGGAGATCTGTGTTTCCTAATAAAGACCTGCTACCACTCGCACCGTAGCTGTTTGCACTACCGCTGAGATTACTAGTAGAAAGGGATGAAGCAGATATCGTACCATTAACTATCTTGTCAGCCGCCCTGTTTCCAGGCACCGCTACTCAGGAAAGAAAAATTCGTACTTTTTTTGCAGAAGTCTCTTTCCCGCGTTAGTGGTACGATGGTTGACGTCGTCAATGGGGACGCACAGAACGGCGGCCTGGCCGCTCTCCTTCGGGGTTACGATGAAGGTGACGAAGTTGCCAAGCGAACTTTCTTCTATTTGGTCGTAAAAACAATTGTCTTCCTTTCGCTCGCGTTTTCCCTTCGGATTCTGTCACGCAACCGACTTTTACGATGCTTCTGTTCTCTTCCGCCCGTTCGTCCTTTGCTGCTATTGGTTTTCCACTTGCTTCTGCTGCTCTTACTCCTGACGACGAAGGCGCTCGAAATTATAGGTCTGCAGGCCTCGACGCGTTGAGCTCAACGCGTTTTCAACCGGCGATGATTGGCTATGATTTTACACCAATATCTCTACCTATCTTACAGCAGTACTTTCTGATGGGTCTCTCTTATCTTGCCGTTGGTCGTCGCGTGGAACTGTCGGTCATTTCAGTTACAGATTTTCGGTACGGGCCCTCAATTTCGAACCTACTTGCGCAGTGACTGCTGCCTGTCAGCCAGATCGTTAGGTTTTGGCCTCGGGTGTTTGACCGGGTGCTACTGCCTCCCAAGAGCCTCAGCCCAGCGGATGGGTTCACGGGTGCCATTTAGAAACACGTAATTCATACGTTCGGTCTCTTTACGAAACAACGTTTTAATACCACGTCGTACATGATAAGCAAGTTAGCAAGATGGCTCTACACAAATAGATAATCAAAGGGCAAGGCTAGCTTTATTTGATTTCAATAATTAGAAATAAAGCTGTGTCTTTTGCTAAACAGTAAACTAAGTTACAAGCCTTATTTAGAAAGTAACACTACTTTCGGCGGAACTTCGAAATAAATCGAAATCCTCTGAATGTTAATATCCTTCTCTACTTTTATCGTAGTTTGTTTCTGTGTTCTAACGATTTTCAACTAAGATTCAAAAAAGTTCATTAGGTTTGAATTGGAAAGGATCAGATGCATATCCGCAGCGGTAAAACATGCAGAAAAAAACTACCGCAAAACGCGCAGTCGTAAATAATTTTTTTCTTAATTGGCGCACGAACGATAATATTTGCTATTGATCTATGATATATTATGTACGCCTTTATTTAAAAAAAATAAAGTGTGCTATTACCATAAATATTATTTTTCTCACGCATGTAGTGCAGTATATGTCAATGGTGGAGTTTCAAAGAACAACTCCCAGACCATTTCAGCCACTGGCTTAGCACTTCAGACTACCAGCAAAACTTTTGCAACTTTAAAGCGGTGCTTTTTGTCAGTAGACTTAGTTTTAAGCTTACACAGGACGAGTATCTCTACTTATCTACCAAGATCGTTCTAGGTACTTATTTACTTATCTGAATGTAAGCACTCTATCCTCAAAGGCTGTTTTTATCTCTCAGACTGTGCTGCTTACGACCCGACACCGAAAAGCAGTAAACGTGCGTATTAGACATACGAAATTACATATTGCCTCCTATTGTGCCTACTTCGACTCAAATTCGAAGCAGTTGCAGTGATTTCACCAATGGCAACGCCACCGCCGTCATTACTATCTGGGAGTTCGACCTTGAAACAACAACCTTGGGGACGAACACTCCTGGTTTTGCTGACGAAGTATGAAGAGAGCCAAGACATCGTGGAGATGCAGGACGTTCAGTTCAAGGGATACTGGTTTTCCATAACAAACGGGGGTTAAACACACGTTCGGACGAATGAACGGCCCATTATTGAACCTTAGAAGATCTCTTAGGAAGGAATTCTGGAGAGCTCAGAATCGATGTCAATCACACACACCTACCTACAGCGAGACCGCCTAGGCCACCATGGCACCGCAGGAAGCCCTTTAGTTACGTCTGGCCCTGACTTCCTCAGCCTACGCCGTTCTATTTGGCGACCCGATAAGCATAGAAGGTCCTCCTGGGACGATGGACGGAACAAAGCAGAACGCATTTTTCCGAGAAGTCCAAGCTATCAAAGTTCGCTTGACTGCTTCGCAAAGTTACTCTGGAAGAACCACTTGGCAAAGTAGCTCCCAAGGTATGTTTACATTGCACTAGACAAAATTGGTGGTCGGAAGAAATAAGTTCAGTTGCATTTACTCTATACTTGCTATTACTACGTGCGCTAACTTGAGAGTAGTTGTCTGAATAATAACGCAAAAATAATGAATCTGTGCGATGAATGCCAAGCATATAGATAATATCCAGGGCAGAGCTGCGTCAACGTAGTAGCGTGCAGAAGTAAATGACCGTAGTCAGGGAATAGGCAAAAAAAAGGGTGCATTAATATTCAATGAAAGCGAGCATCGAATAGCTACGCCGAATTTTGAACATTCTGGTGGGACCAGTCTGGCATTGGAGGACGATTACAGAATCAATGAGCAGCCTGGGAAATGCGGTCCAGGAGTACCTTAGCTGTATTATCTTTCTCAGAAGTATCTCGGCCCTGCTACTCAACACCAGCGATTTTCCTCTCCAGCAACGTAAAGATGAGTCGAGACTATTTTTGAATGTGACAAAAGTAAGGTGTAATTAAAGTGGAGTTAGTTAAACGTGAATGCAAAGTTAGTTCATTTTTTAAGTGGAATTATTTAAAAAATCTTCGTATCCCAACGAGTGGTCAAACGCTTATGGAGCACGAATAATAAACACAGAATAAGGTAGCGTTATGTGTCCTAGTTTATAGTACTGGCTTACACATATAGTGGAGATGATTCGAGCTCCTTCACAATCGATGTTTTATTTCTATCTGTTTGTTACTAGGGGGGAAGTGATTCGATAACAGCAGAATTAACTTCAAATGCAATTATCTCTGACGGACTATCTTATCTTAATTATCTCTGACGGACTATCTTATAGTCAGCAAAGTTTGTAGACGCGATATGTTCCTTGCTGCCACATATCTGACTCATTCGTAGATCAAAGAATAGAATAACTATAGAATACGGGTTATCCTCCGGGTTACTAAAATAAATTTCAAAAATGGAGGACATTATCCGGAACTAAGGAAGCTGGCTCTTGACGCTACGCGGATAAAAATGTTTTCTCATGTTGAAACAATACAATTGTAGGATCCTTTTTTTAACCACTTAACGGGTTTATTTTAAAAGATTCACTGTCAAAGTTATGAGATTGGGACATAGAGCTTTGGCACTAACATTTTCACTAAACAGCTGTCCATCATATTGGACAAATATTTGTTTGCCCTTACACGAGGCCTTGAGGCCAGATGTTATAATCATACGCTGATTATGCTATACAATGCACTTTACTGTAATCAATTGGTTGGTTGTATTTTACTAGGTTATTAAAAAAAAAAAAAAAAAAGGGGGTAACTTAATACTCATTTTAACATTACTTAAATTTCCGTCTCTAATGGATGAACTTGCTCTTCATATACTCGGCATTCATGGAATTAACTCTATTTGAAATATGATTGATATTGAAGCCGTTTTACGAAGCTCACCTATTTTCAATTTACTCACCTAGTAATTCATGTTTCAGCAGTATTATGCTTGTTCAAGTGACTGATACAGTTCAGAACTATCAAGTTATCTATATAATTGTGCAGTAGTTGGAAAATAAGCGCCTAAATTGTAATGGCTCTTTTAATGTAAGCAGCCTATTTTTTTAGTTGATATTTTTTTGTTTGTTAACTTTGCAATATGGTCTGCTTGTTCTTGTTCTTCCGTTACGCACTTCATAACATGATTTTAGATAACATGACATAGCTTGATTGGTTGATCTTTAATATTAGGTACATAAAATCGGCTGCCACTATACTGTCAATGAGTAATAACTGTTTCCAGTACGTCATAACTTAACCAGAATGGTATTATCTTATTTTATACCAGGACACTCTTCTAAATTAAAGCTCAAGGCTCCATGGAAGCTCTGCGCCCAATCTGGCGTATTCCTCTATTAGTTAGACTGCGCTAGCAACCTTCGGTAATATTCAAGCTGTAACTATCTTGATAAAAATTCTAATTGAAGAATAAAGAGCAGAAAGTTTAGTTACGGTTACTTTTCATGTAACAGTGATGTGGCTCGCAAACGTCATATCCGGTGAGGTAATTCAATTATGGACAGTTAATCTGTTGAAGTCGATGGAAATTATTCCGTTTTAGTAAGTGTCACCGATCAGTACAGGCGGCAACAACCTTTCCTCGTGATCTCGTACCCCTACCAACACAGTCTCAAACAGAAATCACCCTTAACCTTTGCCATACGCTTGCCATACAGTATACCTCCACTTTTCACAGGTCTGTGAGTAGACGCGAACCTCCACTTGCCAATAACCTGACTCATTCATATTTCGTGCACATACAGCGTCCCACCAACCAATAGCTTGGATCGTCTCAACGTTACACTGCCGGCAGCCGTCACGAACGCCAATATACTATGCTCCTAGTTTATGGCCAATTTCCGCCTGACTAGGACATGGTCTCCGTATTGACAGCGGTCGGCTGTTTCCAGCCTTCCATCACATGTACTCGAATAAACGTTACAGGAACACGTGTCGCATCTGCCGAATGCGCGAAATCTTTGACTATTTAAATATAGTTAATGATTAGAGAATCGTTAACTGCAAATGCAGTGAAATTCATTTTGGCTTTTGCGGAAAAGGCCTCAACGGTGTTTTATCAACAAGTCCATCAGTCTATCACTATCAGTGGCTTCGCCTAGTGAAACAGCTCTGTAGAGTAACTGCTACTGGATTATTGCACCGGGTCAGCAGTTTACTTAAAATGATTCACTTATGCCCACAATCAGTTGCTCCGCCCTCGTTTAAACTAAACCAAGGATATATTTTCTAAGGCGGTTTATTTTGAATGCGCTTCTTACGTGCTGCTGATACTTGGCTCCGTCTTTCCCGCTGTAGCAAAATAAAGACCATCACGCCATATTTGTCATTCAACAGCTTTCTAAATATACGATCCACTTTATCTTGCTCATGTTTCTGATAAGGGAACGCGATTTCAAGTGAAACCAAGCTCAGCATTCAATGGAAGCTGTCCTTATTCAACACTTATAAGATTTTGTAATGAGACTGATAAAACTGAGGGAGATATAAACTGCCGTAGCTCGCAACGAATACAAACATGTTGCAAAGGATTATGCAGGAAGGGGCATTTATCGCAAGTTGTCATAAGGATTAGCTAATTATAAAGAGTGAAATAAAATGAGCCAAAAAGTGAATAAGGCCAATGAAAACGAGCCGACAAAACTTCCAGAAATTAAGAGAACACCACCTCTAACTGCGGTGATTTGCCCTTGATAAACTGTGCAAAAATTGGACACTCTCTTTTTGCTGTGATTCAACAATTGTGAAATAAATAAGGACAATCTAATAGTAGAATCCTATATATATTTTTTATATAAAGGTTATAAATTGCTATAGTATTATTTAAGGTCACTTCCGATCCTGGGTAGCACAATGCATGTTTGATAGTAACATATATGGCCTACTATCTATAAATGAGCTTTTTCAGTGATTGCCTCATTGTGCTTTTTAATTAGCTATAGCAAACCTAGTCTATGCTGGCTTTACTCATTTGATTCTACCATCAGGAACGAACATTCAACGATGCTTTGAAGCTCATGGCAAAAGTCGTATGTGAGTACCAGGTAACTTACTCTTGTTATTCTACTGGTTATTTATCCTGTTTTTTTCCATTTTATTATAGTTGTAAATACATACTGACTTGAAGTTAAACTTGCTCCTAGAAGGAAGCGCAAATAATACGTATATTTTTAGCCTTTAACCGTGTTCTGTTGACTAGACTGAATATTTTTTTTATCAAGAGCATATATCTGAAGGCTAACGCACTCGGTAATTGTAAACGGTGTATATATGCTCAGCTGGACGATGCGTCACCAACTGGTTTACCGACTGTTCTGAACTACGGCTTCCCGTGACATCCCTACATATATGGCCAACTTCTTAAATTATAATTAGGTTACTAAACCAACGCCTATGGAAGAAGCCTATGTATAGGTAGCCAAATTTAAAATAGGCCAATGCTTTTCTCATTTTTGACAAAAGTGACTAGTATGTCCCTTCTCCATTTCTGTAGCTTCCTTGACGTTCTATGTAGCGATATCTACTTTACCGGCCTTCTCCGTGAAATTTACATTGACTATAATTCCCATGACTTCAGTCTCCATAACGACGATGATAGCCGCTACCACAATTGCCTCGCTCTCCATGTTGATTCCCATAGCGGCCAGCTCTAAGATTGTAGAGAAAAAAAAAAAAGATCTGCCAAAAAATAAATATCTATCGGGCAATGCATCAAAAGACAAACTAGCTTTTGTTCATTAAACTCATATAGTCCTTAAACTTCTACACGTTGTTTTACACGGGTATTGTACAAGCAGGCTCTCAAGGCACACTCAAGCTCTATCAAGAGTCTTCTTTAAACTGGCAGTCTCTTACAATTGAAACTTGCTTAGAGCTACGTATAATATCCATTTATACTTCCTCCCCCGGCTGTACCAAAAGCCTGTTTGACCTCTACTGTGGTGGTGACGCCCCCATCTTTGACGTTTATGGGGGTGCTTCTAGTCCGTGACCTTGATCACGTCAATATCTGAAGCAAAGCAAGTAACTGATTGAAATATATAGCACGTTCACGAAACAAAGAAAAGGCAATGTTTGTTTACTTTAATTTGCATTACGTCTTATTAGTGTCTCATACGCATGTTCAAATGCATTTGTTCACAAGATAAGATTTTTATAAATTTTTTAAATGTTTACTTATTTAAATATTATCACATCACCATCAAAGTACACGCTATTGAAAAGCTATAAAAAAATTTACGCTTAATTATACAAACAAGATTTTTTGACGGACTATCACACTTGTTGGGCACAGTATGAATAGGTACACGGGAAGTATCGGTAGGCTTAGTAATAAACATGCATTTGTTATTGTTTCGCAAGTAAAGTGGGCACCATTGAACAACTCTAATAATAAATCTTCTACCCCAATGGAAATGTTTTTTGTATCCACTATACGATCCATAGCTGTTGCGGCTGCCCTTCCGATAGTAACGGTTACCTTGATGATCGCGGTAGCACCTTCCTTCACCGATATTGCGTTTTTTGTAGCCGTTATAATCTCCTCCTTAAAAGCATACAACTTATCAGTGACAATCACATAAATGAGTTCATCCCCGAAGGAGAGCCTTATATATATTGTCAAGTGAGGCAGGATTCCATATTCCTTGGGGCATTCCCGCCTATTCTATTCCGCCATTCTTTATTAGTGCTTTTTTTTTTGTACAAATGAAAGGTGGCTTATGAGACATCGCGTTGTGACTTACCTGGACCTTGTCTTTTTGAAGTAGAGCTTTCCCTACGAGGCTTAGCTAAACATGTGTATTCTTCACGTGGATATCACCCTCACATATATTGCAAGTTGTTGTTTAACTCTTTTATCATCAATCTATTAACAGATAACGCACGAAATAATGTACACGAAAACTTCGGTCAAATAGAAACACCCAGATAATATATATATATATATCTTTTTTGTCGTGAAATTGTCTTTCATTTTTGCCGCATAAAATATGCCACACATTAGCCTATGATCCATACACTGTATTTGAACCTATCCTCATATATGTCTCGGTAGTTTGCTACTGTTCCTTACAATATAAATAGTGATGAACGCATCATATGAGACTTCAAGGCATGTATTGCCATCAACTTAGGCTATTCTAAACGTTACGAAAATATGCATTCTATGTTAAGCCCTATAGGATACTCGAGAATATGCATGACGCTAACATCTTGCGGGTCTTATATTTCGCAGTATGTTTATAACGGCTTCCTCTTCCATCGTAGCCGTCATAAGCGGCGTAGCGGGCTTCCTGCGCCAAGAGATCGTCGTCTGCATGTTCTGCAGCCGATAGTGTTACTCCAATTTTCGTGGCAGGAACACTAGTAGATCCTTTAATATTTGCTTTTTTCTCCGTTAACCCGCCGTTCGTCGATTTTTTTCCCTGATATTAACCTAAAGGTAAGTGTTCACTGATGAGCCATTGTAAATCACATTAGTTCTTTTTTTCTCCAAACAATCGTCTTTTTTCGGAAGAAGACAACTCTGAAAATTTCTCGACCGGATCTTTTACACGTGGGGCATCCTTACTATCAACCCGCTTTCCGTGTGCTATTTGTAGCTCCACCCTCTGTTCATGTCTAACTCCCGTCACGGCGACATTTCTGTCGGGAAACAAGAACGTTTGCACATGTTTTCTAGTCACGTCGCGGGGCACCACTCCGACTTCGGGCAGCCGTACTCTTTCGACCCATAAACAAGGACATGCGTGTAACACCGGTGCAACGAACCGAATGACTGGGGTTGTCCGGACCAGGCGCGAGACTTAAAGTCAGGGAAAGGGCAATCGTTATTCGATAACAGAGCAGCAAGCCTTATAAAATAGTTACTAGTTCGCACAGAACTCGACCTTATCGCAAAGTTGTAAGTTGAACTGTCACACGTCCCCGAGAAAATGCTCTGGGTAACTCGTTTGCCCCCCAAAGTTAAGCACACGTCGTGGCGTGGGTTCCAATCGGGGGCAAAACCATCTTTTACTTCGTAATGTGCCGAAAGCCAACCGTCCGAAGTAACGCCTAATGGAAACATTTTTTTGTTTAACTATCACAACAAGCCACGACGTTTCGATAATGACTGTAAATGTACACCAAAAAGAGTCCGTTGCATACCCAAAGGAATGGTTATTATATGAAATGCATTATCTAAACGAAGATCACTTGGATGATTCTGTTTAATAAAAATAAGCTCAAAGGACAACGAGTTGTACAGGGGGTATGAAGATATAATGGCAGTGGAGTTAATTCTGTGCGGTGTATGCGATATCACAAAAAAAAAGCGTTAGAGAGCATTTTGTTTTACATACAACGACCTCAAAGATGAATATAAACGGTTTCTTTTTGCCATAAGTAATTCCTAGATCGCAGAATAGAAAACAAGATCACATAGGATTATTTTTGTCACTTATTTGGCGCCACGTTTAAAATCGGCCTTCTCTAGGTAATCAGTCTGCATGCCGCACACTGAAGGATGAACAGAACAAGCTGTGGGCTATCTTTCTTGTTCGACATGTATGTGTTCTCTCCAATGAACTCTCAATCCTAGCGATCCATAGAGTTTCTGTTTATTTTTTGTTACACTCTTTGTCCTTACACAAGAACGCCTACTTTTTTAATTTCGATTGGCATTATTACAGTTTGCTAAGCGTGCTCATACCCTTATCATATGCTCAACTTCAAATTTTGGGATAATGTTTGACAACAGAAATCATTCTGAAAAAATTGTGCCAACATGAAGTTCACCAAGAAACGGGACCAGCTCAATGAAAAACAATATTTATAAGTGAGGCCTGATTGGGAGCGCTGTAAGTGTCATTAGGCACACGTTTAGACGAGACAGGCTTCCTAATTTCATTTCATAGTTGTGTTTTTATTGCTACTTAACATTTATTTTTTTTTTTACAATAACTAAACATCACGAACAAGTACGACCGCAATATCTAGTGACCTATTCTTTATGACCATGTGTGAAATGGTTGCTAGCTACATGAAATTCCCAGAAAGACACTGGCAGCCAGCGAAGCGTGAGTAACATATTCTCCTGTGGTTTCGAGGCTCGTTCAGCCATTGACGCGTTGCTGGCAGAAACAATGAGGCCCTTGCCGACGCAATGAAACGCTCGCCGGCAGCTATCTTGCCCTTTTCTCCTCACTTGACGGAAGTCAACTCCTTCTACATCGATCCAGATAAAAGAAGCTGACTATATATATGTCTCTCGTCTTGAATGCGTGCGAAAGGCTAACAAATGAATAGAATACTAATACAACTGCTAATTTTAGAACTTATATTAAATTAAAAAGATCAGTTCGATTAAACATAAAAGGACGAGCGTTTTAGTACTGAACGAAGATGAGAGTATTCTAGCTAGATCGTATGAAATATCTTGGAAAAAACATGCATTTATTATTCAAATAAGATCTATGGCACAGTTTTATTTTGTAAGTATTTTTTTATTTTGTAATTACAGTAAGAAATTAGGAACAGTGATCAGCCTAATTAAGGATTACGTTCTGAATCTCAAGGTTGAGCATACACTATTCCGCAATTATGACCAATGCACAAATGAACGTTGAGCACGATTTATTGTCGTTAACAGCTGCTTCGTTTGGGCCAATGTTATGAAGTCAAAGTTTTGTTTTCGTGAGATATATCACGTTAGAGCAGAACAATCATTTGAAAAACGTAGTTTTTCTATACAAAGTCTGCGAGAGGTCCCGTACGCGGAACGCCCGCAGCGTTTACGAGCTACTGTCTAAACGTGTGGTGTGAATAGATTACTAGAGAAGTCAAAAGGTTTTACATTGAAATAATTTTTATGTTTTCGAAACCGTTTGGGACCTCGATAAGTCAAATTTATTGTTCCATAAGCAGGAAATAGGCCTCGTTAGGAGAAGTTAGCGTGATCGTGTTTTGGCTATGGTGCGGTTGATGATCACGATGGTTTCCTTTGAAAGCTTAGACTTTGAAAACGACTTAATACGTTCCATCGTTACCGGTTAGTGAACTACTGTAGTTACTATATTCCCATTTCAGATTATGTATAATTTTATGATTTGCGTCAGTAACAGAGTGCAATCACCGACTATATTGACAAAGGTACCTTATAAAATGCGCTCTACCATTTAATCGCGTCTGCTATTACAGAAAAATCACGACAATATAATGCACGATTGTTTACAAACAAAACTGTATGTACACATTGAGATCATGGATCCTGGGAGTCATCCAGCATAACGTAAACAATATTAGCACGATCTGTGACCCAGCTATGAGTGGAAAGGTAGATTGGACTATTCATCCGATCAACAAAGAATTTCTGGCGCAGTTTTTTGCTTTATCACAGCCATGTTACTGCTACTAATATATTTGTTTTTAGAACGACTATGTAATAGTTGGCAGTCCCATTTACGCAGGCGAGGATAACCGTTGTTTGGGCGAGTACTTCCCTCGTAAAGAGCTTATCTTAACCCACTTTCCGAAACAAGGATTCTCTCGGCAGACACTGTTGGAAACGCCCGTATCCTCCTCCATTATCGTTGCCACCGTGCTACCTACAATGACTATGTTTGCTATGAGAGCCCCGACCTCTTTCATCGTGATGATGATACCCGCTACCATTATAACCATTCATGTAATGCAGCTTTCCGTAACGGCCGCTATGTCCGTGATAACAACCATCTCCGTAGTAGCAATCTACATAAATATGCTTATGTATAGCTTAGAATTACATAAAAGGTTATGACGAAACGTAGGTATAGTCAAAGAAAAACACAGCTTTTAACTATCACTTTCCGTAAGCTTTTCTGAGGAGCTATATATACAGATAGTTTTAGTTGACCTTGATGCCATTAATGGTAAAATCTATTGAAAATTGAAAGATTACCCAAACATTTTTGCCCGCAATATATTATCTGTGTGCAAGAATTACTGTTTTAGTTTGGAGCGTCGCTTTTCACAGAAGTTTCGACAGTGTTATCATATTGTGGCGTTCTGTAAGTCATAATGCCCCTGGTAGCTTGAATGGCCTCCTCGATCGTGGTGAGATCTTTCCTTCCTGTCTTAACTCTATTGAGATCCCAATCCATCTTCACGATCTCCGTGGTGTCTGCAGTAAACCGTAACTAATATCAAGTAAAAGCCCTAAATATATTTCTTGCTTCCTTTTTTTTTTTTATCTATTTGTGTCTTTAAAATGCTCTCGGTACTTTAGAGCATTCAATGTGTTCGGGTTACACGTAAATTGTACTGTATTGTACATAATTTTACCGTCCACCTCGGTTCCGATGTCGATGTGTGCTTTATGCCCCCATGCCTTCTGTGGTTTGTTCAGTGAAAGCTATGATGACGCTATAATGCTTTCTTCCGTAATGGCCATGATGTCCGCAGTTGCTATAACGCGATCTTCTGTGTCTGTCTTTATAATGGCGATTACCTTTTCGATAATGCCGACGGCTTTCTATAATGGCAGCGTCCGTAATGATTATACCGATATTCAAGTATATTCAAGAATATTTTGGCTGTTCATGGGGCCTGTTCTATAGAATATATCCTGTTAGAAACTTCTGAAAGTCGCCCCAAGAAATGCGAACTTGCGACACTCGCATTTAAAAGCCATGCAACTTTAACGGAACTTACAGTAACGTGCTGCTCAGAAAGTTAACCTAAAAATATTGATAGGGTTTCTATGTCTTCTGTCTTCCACACTGACGGATTGTGCTGGCAGCGGGAACGTAGCGGGAGTAGATTTTATACCTCAGACGAAGTGCTCAGCCCAGGTCTCTTAAAACATTATCCGGAAGCTTGACGCAAAAGACAAGGCAAAACTGTGATAGGACGTGTTATCTGATGAAAATAATCATGTTTGCACAGGAATTAAAGCGTTAAAAAGCAAACGGAATGCGTTTGACGCTAAAGGTTAATAATGAAAAAATGGCTAACTTTTTAGTATTCGAATATTTAACTTAATTACTTAGTTATTTTACACATATTTACCTTAAAAAATATTTGCCCCCGGCATAGAACAACGTTGCGGAGCCGCACGCGAACTTTTTCTGACCCTATAAAGTATTAAGTTCCTTCTCATCTCCCAACACCA